TGGTTAACGCTGTTTAAGGAAATAATAGATTTTTATTCTGATAATTAATTAACCCTTCGAAGCCGAAGCTCGTCTAAATAGCATTTAAGAATCCAGTCCGTACCGCGAAGAAAACACAACGCCTCACCATTACGAAGATCAACTGGTTAACGCTGTTTAAGGAAATAATCGCTGTTTACAGCGAGAACCATACGAAACCCGCAAGTTCAAAATACAGAGTTACTGATCATGAGAGAAAGTGGTACATATAGTTACCATTGGGTTTAAGGAGTTAAATGAACAGTATGCAACATTTGGCCAACGGAATATAAAGCATCACCGTGTGAAGTAAGATGACACTACGACGCGCTGTCAGCGCGAATTTTGATTCTGACCTGCTGACTCGGGGACACCGACGCTCCAGGAAACTCCAGTGACTCTTGGAATCAGTTGTACCCACCCAGGACCTGAACTCTGGTGCTTCGAGTTCGCCCTTTGATGCTCCCCGCTCTCGGAAGAGACAGCGAGCAACAAAGTTTGTTGATTCTGGCGTAAGGACAGATGTCCGGAAGCTCAGATTCGTCAGACGCCGGTGTTTAATTTGGTCCAGCCCACATGATGGATGCTGGGATGAGGACTGATGTGTTTTGGAGCCGAATTAAAACCGCGGTCTGCGCGCACCGGAGGGTCAGCGACAGGGGACGAGAAGTCAAAGCTGTTTCAAACTCGGGGTCAGAGGTCACTCGGTTTGTGTCCGGCCCCAAAGCGAAAACCGCGTAAGCGAATTAAAGATGATTTGTCCGTCTTTTGATCGCGGTCATAAAATGTGACCTCTGTTTTCGATCAAGAAAAAAGTGAACGCGGTTTGTTCCTGCCCTCGGGTTTTCGCTGTTGGTGTTCAGCGAACGGGACGAACCGGGTAGAATTCTTTAAAAAAAAATCATCCGACGTTTCGGAAAACACTGCCGTAATTTCTTTCGAGATGAGTACGTCATAGTTTGGCGTTTTTGATAGCGTTATTTAGGACGATGAGTTAGCTCTGCCATATTCAAGTCCCCAACTTGTGTATATTTAACGAGAATCACGCTATTCGTCCAAAGTTTGCGCATTCTCCTGAAAATTACTTTTTTGTGACAATTGCTTACAGAACCTGGAGCGATGGAGACGCTCTTATCAGTGATAAAGCTTACCTTTGGGCTCTGATTCGCAGAAGAAAAGTGACATTTGCTTCCTCCGTTCTTCGCCAGATGTCTCGCTCGTCCTTACTCAATAATCAGCTTTGTGATTCTTTTATAAAATAATTTCACCTGTGGATTTTCTTCGAATTTGTCTTACGTGTGTGTATTTTTTAAT